GGCGCCGGGATCTGAAGCATGGAGGGGGTTCTGTACAAGTGGACCAACTATCTCACAGGTATCGGGGCTCGCATGGTCCAGGGTCAGCGGGGAGAGGCGGAAGGGTTGGGCAGGCTTAGGCTGTGGAGATGGTGGGTCAGGGGCCCCCTCTCTGCCTGGAGGGTGGTGACCCTCATAGCGAATTCAAAGCTTAATCCCCCTCTGGGTCCCTCGTGGAGTCTATCTGGCCTCTGCCGAGGAGAGTTCGAGACTGCGCACCTTCCTGAGGACGGGACGTGCACCAGACCACTTCTTTGCTGTGTGTAGTAATAGTTCGGATTGCCCCCTGTAGCCTCCGGAACTATTCCCAGTCACCTCCATGTGTGTTGCATTCTCAGCCCTTGTTCACACTTAATAGTGTTTTGTTAATAACTGAGTTGTCCGGGGTATTGGACAGGATTGGACTCTTAGGATCAAGATTTAATTTTAAGAGATGTTTTAAAAATATTCCTTTTAACCTCCTGAACAACACTATTGATTTTAGAAGTTCACTTGTTGAACTTAGCAAGCATGTTTTTGGAATCTGTCCCCAGGTGTTTTTCTTTTAAAGGTTGGTTTTCAACGAAGTATCCGAACGTTTGGGAATTCAGGTAACTGAGAAATAGTGCAAGAAAGTGTAACACACAGAAATGGAGCAGGCTTGTCAGATTCATCCTTGAGATGGGTTGGAAGGAAGAACTACGTACTGTTAGTAGCTTCAGTGGAAAGGGCCACTTTCCATGATAATGAAGGCTATTAAAAGCTCTTAAGTCTGAATTGTAGTGCAGTCTCTACTATCAGTCAGCGCTAAATTAGGCAAATGGCTTGTTCTCTCAGGATCTCAGTCTTTTTGTTAGGCCTGGGTGATCAACAACTGGAAGTGTCTTTCTACTCCTGAGTTCTGTTATCTCACCAAATAAGAGGAAGGGGAATGTATTTAAAACATTGGAATAGTAAACAGATTTCTTGGTTAAACATAATGGCAAATATTGACTTGCTGCCCACTTACTCTGCCAAAGATATTGAACCCTTTAGTGATTATATGCTGTACTCAACTTGTGTTCACTGGACTTTGTGCAAAATCTGCATATACACACTATAAGGCATAGGTACTGAGCCATAGTTGTTCTTGATTTTTGGTTAATTAGAACCTTAAAGCCAGATATACAGTAGCAGATACTTTTGAATCACTGATGTTTTATTTTGTTCAAAATAAAAATTTATTTCCTTAACTATCATTTTAACAGGAAACATTTAAAAAAATAAGACACATTTAAAAACATTAAATTAAAAACTTTTTGGTGATGCTGAGAAGTGAACTCAGGTCCTTCCACATGCTAAGCAAGTGTTTTACCACTGAGCTACACCCCTGGCCCCAAGACAAATATTTTTTATTAAGTATTTTCATTTGGGTGGTTGTGAGAAGCACAGTTACTGTTTGGTTGAGGTACCACATTAATGGTGAGTCGGTAGCTTCTATGCTTTGAGATGCAAGTGATTGCCTCATCGCAAATATTTGTAAGCACTGTGTCCTGGGAGTTCATGCCAGATGAACCATTTCTGAGTAGCCCAGAGCAATGGCAGTTACTAAGATGAGTCATAATTTAAGGTGAGGTTTCACTTGGAGTGAAATGTGGTCTTGGCAGTTTCCTCATTTCCTTTGGTACTGAGTACCAGCTGTGTCTTAGGTTTTAGTCTTTGCAGAACATTTTAGGTAACTTCTAGTAAGCTATGTAGAGTTTGCTGAAATGAAATCTTTGGTTTGGAAGGATTCCATTTTTAAAATTTAAATCTGGCTCCCCCACATGCTGATTATTAATTAGTTCATCTTGGGTCTGTAGGACAAGCAGCTGTCCATGCTAAGTGGTTTTTAAGGACCTCCTGTGTTCTTAAAATTTTAAATTAGTGTAATTTGGGAATCCTTTGTAGAATAAGAGTTTTGGTAACTTTTGGTAGTTTGATATAAAAATATGTGTTTTGTTTTGTTTTTTTAAAGAGGAATTTTTAAAAAGGGAGTAATGTGTGGATCTTTTCCACAGGTACAGTCCTATATTGTGTAAATGTTTATACAACAGGTTGGGTTGTTAAATATTTCTTCAAAAAAGGTATATAGTGATTATTAACAGACTTGGTTAGAATAATATATTCAACCATGGTCACCATTTGTGTTCCTACAAATTCGAAATGAATCATTTACATTTTGGTGTGTGTATGTGTGTTACTAGGGCTCAAACCCAGGGCTTTTGGTAAACGTATTGGACAAACACTGTACCACTGAGCTATATCTCCAGCCCATTTTGCTTTATTTAGAGACAAGGTCTTAATAAGTTGCCTAGGCTGGCCTTGAATTTGTAGGCCGCCTTCTTCAGCCTCCTGAGTTGCTGGCATTACAGAAGTGTGTGTACCACAGTGCCTGGCTTCAATATTTGTTTTAAATAGATATTGAATTGCAATAATCCACATTTGCAGAATCATACTTTGTCCTATAGGTACACTGGATCTATGGTGGAGGAATGTACTTTCATACTCTGCTTATAATTTGCTCACCAAGGTGAATTACTATTTGGAAATATGTTTTCATCATTTCTATACATGTTCAATACTTATGAATAATAATATTTAATGTCTGTTTTTTATGGATCATAGCAAGATCTCACATTTATGGTGTTCATTCATTTGTTTTTTTCTGTCACATGAGAAATATATTTTTTAAACACCTGTTACGCCAGGCACCAACCACCATTCTAATTGCTGGGAATGCAGTGATGAACATGATAAAGTCCATGTATTCAAAAGAACTTTCTAATTTGGCAGGCCGCATTAGGGTATATAGCATTCTTAAAGATGGGTTTTCCAAGCCAGGTGTGGTGGCGCACTCCTATAATTCTGGTAGCTCAGGAGGCTGAGATAGGAGGATTGCAAGTTCAAGGCCAGCCTCAGCAATTTACTGAGGCCCTAAGCAACTTAGTGAGACTGTCTCAACATAAAAAAGTCAAAAGGGCTGTAAATATAGCTCAGTGGTAAACCATCCCTGGGTTAAAATCCCCAGTGCAAAAAAAAAGCGACAGCAAAAAATATTTTCCAGGCATCTAAGGCTGCTTGATTTATTTATTTTGGACATTTATCTTTCTGAACTGTATTAAAGCATTTTCTACTTTCTTATAAACATTTTTTTTTTAACTTCTCTTTTTTTTTTTTGGTGTTGGGGATTGAACTCAGGGCTACTCAACCACTGAGCCACATCCTCAGCCCAATTTTGTATTTTATTTAGAGACAGGATCTTACTGAGTTGCTTAGTGCCTCACTTTTGCTGAGGCTGGCTTTGAACTCATGATCCTCCTGTATTAGCCTCCCAAGCCACTGGGATTACAGGCATGTGCCACCAAAAATTTAACTTTTTTAATGATGACTCGGTGCTGTCATTTCAAAAGTGTTATAGGTAAAGCCTTTTAGGGAAGAAAGTCCTGGGTTTGTAAAGCAAGGTTTAAGAATATTTCACCTGTCTGTCCTTTTTTGGTACTATCTGGCCTTGGAAAAGCTGAATTGATTAAGCATATAACTGGTTATAGCTAAATCTAGCAGGACAGTGGTTTAAAAGGTGGTACATTTTAGCCTAGAATATCTGTGCCAAATTGTGAATTAATAGTTACAGAAAGAACAAGGACAGTCACACTGCCTCCAGCATGGTCACCATGTTGTTAGTTAGTGAACTGT